TCGGTGGTTTGCTTTCAAAAACTTGTCATTTATTAAATAATTATACATTTATAATTAAAAATCCTGATTACACAATACTTTCGTTAAACTACTGAACCATAAATTCCCGATCTACAGTTTAAAGTAACCTAACAGTACGATCCTCGTTAACTTGTCCACGTGATACTCACCTTATATTTCGTCCGGCTAATCTTGACGTACTAATATTAACTGTGGTCTTTGATTCCAACTAGCCCAACGTACCGTGGTTGGTTGTGGTTGTTAATTTAGTTTCAGTTACCCGACGTACTGTGGTAATTGTGGTTTCAAATATTGGAATACCCGACGTACTGAGGTGTTCAATTCTTTAAGGTTAAAGTTCCTAAGTGGTCCGCCCTAACTAAAGAGAAGACCAATATTACCGGTATAACCCCCCCCAAAGACTCAAATACTAGAAGAATAACAAGAATTACTTACCTACGAGCCCAAACCACCGACCAAATTTAAACGCCCTCTTTCGATAAGCCATTTGTAGGCTATAAGAAGCTTTACATAGTCAAGCGACTGACTCGCCGGTATTTTTCACGTTTCAATATTAATTATTATTTAGGAAAATTTTCGACATAGAAATGCAAAGAATTTATATGATGAATAATATTGAAAAAACTCAACCCCCCCTCTGAGTTAGAGAATATGCATGAAAAGACTTAAAACCCATACAATACTACGTTTTTGAGATAAATAATTAAGAATTGATGTTTCGAAAAAAACAGATTTGTACGTGTAGTAATTGTTTATTGCGATGTCAAAATAATTTGTTTATCATATAATAACGATAATAATTTATTTAAAAAAAATATTCAAATAAGAAATGGACATTTTTATAATCAATATTTTATTTTACTTTGTATTTTTTTTGCGCTAAACGTCAAATTTCTCTCTCAGAAATCAATTTCTTAGTTATCTTAATAGAATGGCAACTCTATGGATCCATATTGAGGGCAAACCACACCCTGTGAAATTTCATGTTATGAGGTAACAGTCAGCTTAACAAAATTGACTATCTGAGAAATGCTGCGGCTCAACAAAATTTGCCACGTCCAATTGACTTATTTGATATCAGCCCTGAACTTTGTAAAAAAGAAATTCTTAAAAATGTTCAACCAAACAAACTCGATTAGTTGTTAACTAAGTCAACTAATCAATTCATCGATTTTCGATTTGTATCACTAGAGGAAGAGATTAAGTATGAGTTTATGCTCAATTCAATATTAGAAAAAATTAATCATCCGGAAAACAGTTGTGAACGTGCAATCAACCTTTTTATTCGGATTAGAGGACAATTGCATGAATTCTCGTTTTTTTTTTTTTTTTTTTTTTTCTTTTTCTTCTATAGGTAAGAAAGCATATGGTGATTGGGGAATAGACGAAGTTCTCAAGAAGTTTTTTACACCAAGACGGATCTTCCATAAAATGGTATACAGACGATTCCCCGAAAGTCATTTAACCGACAGGCCACTTCACTGACAATTTAGCCTGATTTAGAGTGTTAGTCAAATTTTATTTTCGGTGAAATGGCTGTCGGTGAAATAAGACGTAACCTTTTTTGCTAATGTCACCCCCTAAATACAAAAGGTGCTCCGGAAGAGGTATAATTACTAAGTAACCCTCTTTTTTTGTATTAATTAAAATTTTTTATTTGGTCTTTCTGGTTCTAATGGTAGTAAAACCATTAAAATCGGACTAGCAGTTCTTAAAATATAAATTTTAAATCTTTAATTCGCTTTTAAAAGAGAACAACTAATCCGATTTTAATGATTTTACTATCATTAGAACCAGAAAGACTAATAAACAACTTTAATTAATATCAAAAAAGAGGTTTATTTGGTTATTATACTTTTTTTAGAGCACCTTTTGTATTTAGGGAGGTAGTTTTAGCAACTCTCTTAAAATATTTTTAAATTTTAATTTTATATATTCAACATAACTTATCATTTACAATCCTAGTCGGGTTAACGTAAAAAAAAAAAAAAAATTTTTTTATAACATATTATAAAGTTTGTACATATAAGAAAAGTTAAAAAAAAATTATTTATTTAATTTCTCAAACTCTTTAACTTTTTTCCAAATTTTAATTCTTTCCATAATTTCTTCCTCAATTTCAAATTCCAAATATTTTTGAGTAGCCCATCTTTCAACAATTAATTTCACACCATCAATTCCTAATTTAATTAAATTATTTTCTAAATTATAATTAAATTCAAAATTTTTAAAATTAATTTCAAAATTTAAATTATCAGAATGATCAATTAATAAAGAACCACCAAAAATTAAATTTTTTTTATAAATTAATTCTTTTTCATACATATCAATAATACGATTTATATATAAATTTGATGAAGTAATTGAAATATCAATTACATAATCTTCAATTTTTTCATAAGATAAATTATTATTAATAATTTTTGAAGATTTTTTTGATTTTGATAACTTATTTTTTTTATTTAAAGATTTTTTTTGAGAAGTTAAATTAGGAAATTCTTGTTCACATCCTTGAAATGCACATCGCCATCGATTTTGATCTAAATTCATTATAATGAATTTTATAAATATTTACATGTAGAATAGGATATTTATTATAAATATAAATATTTACCTAAATGAACTCGTTTATGCATTCGTAATTTGGTTGAAGTCAAAAAGCTTTTCTCACATCCTTCATTATCACAAGGGTAAGGCTTCTTTTTAGTATGTATGGTCATATGCTTTCTTAATAAATAATCCTGAGTAAATGCTGTTCCACATTCCTCTACATGACACTAATTTTAAAATATGATTAATTCATAATTTAATTCATAATTAATTTAATTATTTTACTTACTTTATAAAATCTTTCTGATTCATGTATTTCTTTTTTATGCCTCTTTAAATGATGTTTTGTTGAGAAGCTTGATACACAACTTTCGACTTCACATTTGAATGGCTTAGGATCTTGTCCATGTATAACTGTGTGAATTTGTAAATGATCTAATCGTTTATAACTTTTTGTACAATTAGACTCTGGGCATTTAAAGGGTCGCTATATTTTATTTGATATATAAAAGTTAGAAAACCCGTTGGTCTTTTTATAAATGAAATATTTATGTTTTTTTTTACCAATTCTATATGTGTTATTTGATGTCTTTCTAGCTTAGACCGAACTTTAAATGCTTTGTTACACCCGTCATACGTGCATTTCCAAGGGCGTTCCTCATTAGTTGTGAATTCTCCATTCACAACTAAAAGTTTATCGGTTTGTGTTAAATGCATAAGTTATCAGAAGTTAAAAAAAAAAAAATTCTATTGTTGATAATCTTATCTGTTTATCGCGTAAATTATGTCACGTGATAAACAATTATATAAATAGAATTTTTTTTTTTTTTTTGATCGATTTTCTTAAATCTAAAATGCCTACACCGAACCATATAGTTCAATTAATTCGTTTAGACAATTTATGTAAAGATTGGTCAATAATCCATGATCAATCATGTAATTTATTCTCTTCATTAGTTAATATTTTGACTCAACGTCAAGCAACATCAAACATATTAAATTCTTCTTCACATTCAACTTTATCTAGGCTTACTACTAATACAGTTATCACTACAACAAATATTTTAGATCAAATATTTCAACCTCAAACTCTTAATCGTGTTATTTACAAACAATCTCAAGAGATTGAAAATATTCTTTCAAAAATTCATAAAATACTTGAAGAATTTGAAGAAATCTTGAAATCTATGAGAAAAATT